CCACACATGCCTCCACCACCCTCGCCTGACACTTCTTAGACATTCTCGACCCTTTCAGCCACCCTTTCACTCTCCACCACAAACTCCCAGCTCTCTTGATCCTGTTATTAACATCCACTTCCGAACTCACCCAGCTTCCAAGTACTCTGATTTCACCTCCCTCTTCCGTCCCAAACTCAAGCACCTCCTCTTTCTCGTCATTGTTTCGTTCCTCCCACTGATTCATCACCTCTTTCACTGCTCTCACACCATTCTCAATCTCACCCTTCACACCCACAATCGTAGTATCATCCGCAAACAAAGCCATGGACACTCTCACTCTCACACACTCGCTACTCCCCTTCTCCCATGCACTCTCTCCAGCAAACGAACCCCCTGGCACCCATCTCCACGTCACCCCAACCTCTTCACCCCCGCTTCTTCTCGCCACCTCCGCTTGCCTCATGACCGCCTGATGGTACACATTAAACAAGATGGGTGACGTGGAGCACCCCTCTCGCAGACCTCTCGCAGGCACCCAGCTTTCACTCACTCCTTCCTTCCCTCTCACCTTGTACACAGTCGACTCATGCAAATCCACAATCGTTTCCAGAGATTTCCCTTTCATTCCATACCTCTGAAGCAACCTCCACAAACCCGGTTTATTCACCCTCGGATACGCTTTTCTCAAATCCAGCAGTCTCGCCACAGGCAACTCCTCTTCATTCATGCCCCCATTCTCATTCAGTTCCATTCTTCTCTTCAAATCAACCACGTCCTCTTCTCTTCCACGTCCCTTACCCCCTATAGCTCCCTTATCCTTATCCTCATCCTCATCCTTATCCCTATCCTTATCCCTATCCTTATCATTATCCTTACCATTATCTTTATCCTTATCATTATCCTGATCCTTAACCTTAGTACCACCAAGTCTGTTTAGAGAACCCAACTCAAAGGCATGCTGCAAGCACCGCCTTCGACGGCTACCAAGCTTCGTCCACCAGCAATGCCAATTGATCTGAGCTTGCCGGGGCTCGAACCCACGACTAACTCATCTTTTTTTCTTTTATCACACACAATGTGATCAACATTACGTGGCTGCATCATAATTCCCTACCTAATTTAACTGTTCACATAATAAAAACTTTAGCAGCGAAGAAATTACATCCTGTACATGAAACTTGCATGTTCGAGTTGTACATGCAAGCGATGTTCTGTGATGTGTTACACATTTCTGATTCCATATGACCGCAAGTGTTGCCATATGACCGCAAGTGTTGCCACATGACCGAAAGTGTTGCCATATGACCGCAAGTGTTGCCACATGATCGCAAGTGTTGCCATATGACCGCAAGTGTTGCCATATGTCCGCAAGTGTTGCCATATGACCGCAAGTGTTGCCAATCATAACCCGCTTATAAGGAACCATAACCCGCTTATAAGGAATCATTACATTATAAAAAGCATAACTTGCCCTTTGGAAACCTATACCTGCTCATCTAAAACCTTAAGCCGCATGTAAGGAGCCATGTTTCGCTCATTAATTATGAACGACCACTCACTTTTGAATAACCATAATCAACTCATAAAGAAGCACAACCTTTAATTGGAAACAATATTGTGTTTCAAATTTACAATTAGTGACGTTCGAATGATGTGTTACAACCATACCTGTGTTCATGTTGACACCGACGTCAGCACTAGGGACGGACACTCACGCATGACGCATGACACTGACGCTTGTCACTCACGGCTGTCACTCACGGCTGTCACTCACGGCTGACACTCACGGCTGCTGTCTCTTATACACATCTAGATGTGTATAAGAGACAGGTTGCCATATGACCGCAAGTGTTGCCATATGACCGCAAGTGTTGCCACATGACCGCAAGTGTTGCCATAACACCGCAAGTGTTGCCATCCTGCGCTCCCTCTCCCCCAGGCGCGGGAGCATGGCAGTCATGGCGCTACGAGCTGCGGCTGCTGGAGGGCAGGAAGGTGTTCTACCACACCAACATCACCACCACAACCCACCTGGTGGCACACCTACGTCCTGACACCCACTACCTCTTCAAGGTTGGTGGTGCCTGTCACCCATGGTTGTCTTACCGGCATTCTGGGGGAACTTTTTCCGGTCCTGGGTTGACACCCGTAAATCCGGGCAGTGGTGCGGGGGCTGTAGGGCTGCAGTGGTGCGGGGGCTGTAGGGCTGCAGTGGTGCGTGGGCTGTAGGGCTGCAGTGGTGCGGGGGCTGTAGGGCTGCAGTGGTGCGGGGGCTGTAGGGCTGCAGTGGTGAGTCTCACTGACAGGCGTTGGCCCCCAGGTTCGGGCCTACTCTTCGGCCGGGCCTGGGCCCTGGAGCGACCTATTTGAAGTCACCACCCTGCGTCACCACCACCAGGAGACGCGGTTGGTGCTGAGCACCGACCAGGGCGTCATCACCACCGACTTCACCGCCACCAACACCACCACGGTGGCGTCCAAGTACTTCCTACAGGTACCAAATTACACGTACTATGTTGCTGGGTTCGTAATGAATATAAAAAATCATTGTTATTTATGCATTTCATTACGCCATTATGGTGAAACATTTCCACCAACACGTCGCTGTTTCCACCGCCAGCGGCTGGTGGGTGGGGCGGTGTTCACGGCGGTGGCGGTGGACGGTGACCAGCTGCTGCTGGCGGGCGCCGCCCCGACCGTCGCCCTCAACCTCTCGTCGCTGGCGACGGTCTCGGTGGCGGGCGCTGACGGCGTGGCGGCCATGGCGGTGGATACCGCCACTCGACGCCTCTTCTGGGCCGCCCCCCACCGCCAACTGGTGAGATCACTCATGAGAGGTGGACAGCAATGAACGGCAGTTGATGGTAGATTACGGTGGTGGACGGTGGTGGACGGTAGGGGACGGTGGTGGACGGTAGAGGACGGTGGTGGACAGTAGAGAACGGTAGTGGACGGTAGAGGGCGGTGGTGGACGGTAGGGGACGGTGGTGGACGGTAGAGGACGGTGGTGGACGGTGGTAGACGGTAGAGAACGGTAGTGGACGGTAGAGGGCGGTAGTGGACGGTAGAGGGCGGTAGTGGACGGTAGAGGGCGGTGGTGGACGGTAGAGGACGGTGGTGGACGGTAGAGAACGGTGGCAGACGGTAGAGGGCGGTGGTGGACGGTAGAGGACGGTGGTGGACGGTAGAGGACGGTGGTGGACGGTAGAGGACGGTGGTGGACGGTAGAGGAGGGTGGCGGACGGTAGAGGAGGGTTGCTGGACGGTGGAGAACGGTGGTGGACGGTAGAGAGCGGTGGTGGACGGTAGAGGACAGTGGTGGACGGTAGGCAGGAGTGGACAGTAATTGAAGGTACTGAGGAAAGTCTTATAAGTTAATTCGACTATAAGTACAGCAACGATTACTGATGAAGATAAAAGCATATCATGGCTTTAGTCGTCAAAAGAACGTAATGTTTAGTAATTATTGCTAATGGTCGGTGATGACAGCTTGGTTGGACGAACCTGGTTGATGGTACGTGGGCGACGCTGGACGTGGTCTCGGCGGCGACGATGCTAGCAGTGGACGCCACGCGGGGGCGGCTCTACTGGGCAACCGCCCACACCCTGTGGAAGGCCACCCTCGTGGGGAGGGACGCGGTCCCCATACATGAAGAACCTCTTTATGGGGGACGTTTAAGTGAGGAAAACTGAGCGTGTTATTCGGACGTGCCGGGGGACTTGAAGCTTTAGTTTGGGTTGTTATACGGAGGGCGGCAGGGGTTAATTTAAGGGATTGCTTGGGTATATTGCGCTGGGGTTGGGGTTTGTATACTGCAGTGGGGTTTGTATGTTCAATTGTTCATCTTCTGTAGTACCTGGGTGAAGGGAGCTGGGGTTGACACACGGAGGGCATCTGGGTGCGTTCTAGGTTATTGCAGGGGGGACGTCTGGGTGAGATGGTTAGAGTTGAATTAAGGGGGCTTTCCGATAAGGAAGCTGGGGTTGTGGTTGATGTACGGGTTGGGGTTGATATACGGGTTGGGGTTGATGTACAGGTTGGGGTTGATATACGGGTTGGGTTGATATACGGGTTGGGGTTGATGTACGGGTTGGGGTTGATATACGGGTTGGGGTTGATGTACGGGTTGGGGTTGATATACGGGTTGGGTTGATATACGGGTTGGGGTTGATGTACGGATTGGGGTTGATATACGGGTTAGGGTTGATATACGGGTTAGGGTTGACATACGGGTTGGGGTTGACATACGGGTTGGGGTTGATATACGGGCTGAGGTTGTTATACGGGTTGAGGTTGATATACGGGTTGGGGTTGATATATGGGTTGGGGTTGATATAAGGGTTGGGGTTGATATATGGACTGGGGTTGATATATGGACTGGGGTTGATATACGGGTTGGGGTTGATATACGGG